TTGGCTGGGCCTGCACTGCCAGCCGGTTCTCTGCCACGGCCGACAGCCCGCTCCACGCCCCTGGCCCAGTCTCCCCTGGCCCCACGGTGCGACCTGCCAGGTCGGTGACAGACGCCCTCCACTCTCCCTTTGGCCATCAGCACCTAGAAAATCATTTAGCAACAATATTAGGTTCCTTTTCCTTCCGTTTTTGATGATTGCAGCCCGTTTTTCTCCTGAGCCTCTTGGTTCGGGTGGGGGTACTCCAGCGCCCTGACTTCCTGTCCGCAGGAAACCTCTCTGGTCACGTTCACACACCACGCGTGCGATCTCGCTCTGGAGCGTGGGCCTGTGGATTCATGTTATTTGTCCTGCTCCGGCTGGGTGTGCTTCCGTGCTGTGAGGAGCCGTGTGGGAAGGCCAAACAAATTCCTACCACATTGTCTTTACTTAACACAAACACACACTGTCTGTGTGCTTTCCTGCCGGAATGTCCCCTGTGGGCACTGACCTCTCGCATCACTGCATCACCTTCTCTGTGTTCTGCTTCTCTCCGTGCTGCGCTGTGTACACTGCGCTCCGCTCTGCATCCGGTTATTAATTTCCCTGTAATGATGTTTAATCTGGTCTATCCTGGCCTATTAGCGTTTCACTCCGGGGATCCGTTTGTAATGTCCAGAAATGCTCTTTGGCTGTTTAAAGCCTTGGGTGGCGGTTTGTCTGTTTCCGGTCCTCTCTCCTGGCCTGCGGGTGTGATTGTTTATGACTGATGTTTGTGGAGGGCTCTTCTTCGGGGACAGTGCTTCGTGGGGACCCAAGAAGGTGGCGTGCAGGGGCCCTGGCTGCCGCCACCGGCGTTTCACTTGCCTGCACTGTGCTTGTGCTCAGTTCTCCAGAGACTCGCTGACAGCTGATGGTGCAACCAGGACTCTCACTGCATCAGATGGTGGCCCTCAGCCCGCACTGCCCAGAGCCCTGGCCCCACAGCAAACGGCGTGGCCCCTCAGGGCGGGCAGGTAGAAGTTTCTGGCCCCGCTTTCAGGGACTTAGTTCATATGTGGGCGCTGGATTTTTCAGGATCAGTTTCAGCTCATGACCTCATCGAGGCCAAGGCAGCCCCTGCCCTGTGAGGGCGCTAACTCCTCAGACCTCACTTGAGCCCGCCTCAGGCCCGACACCCCTTCGCTGCCCTGGCTTCAGCCCAACTCCGTGTTACTGTCATGATGTCACCTTCCTTTGGGCCCCTGGAGGCGTCCCGGCTCCAGGCTCTGTTTTCCAAAGCGCCAGGATGCAGCAGCCTTGCGTCTGAGGGGAGGGTCCTCTGCCTGCGTCACAGAGCAGGTCGTGGGGGCCAGTGACCCGCTAGGAGCTGTCCCGTGGGCGAGCCTCACAGGACCACCTGTCGGCCGTGGCTCTGACCCTCCACACCAAGGGCTTCAGGAAGACAGGCCTCTCCGAGGCCACGGCCTCCTGTCCCCAGGGACTGCTTTGTAGCCGCCAGTCATGGTTCAGACACAGAGCTCCTGTCGGTTTCTCAAGTGCACTCACTTCTCTGTGTTTGTGGCATAGCGTGTTCTCCTCTGCTCTCGAGTCCTGGCGGTGCCTTCCTATGCTCCTGCATCACCACAAACATGCTTGTGCACACTCACACATATGTGCACACATGTGTGCACAAGTATGTGCACATAAATACATACACAGTGTACTCACACATGCACATACATGTATGTGTGTGCATTGTATATTCTCATGTGTACACGCATGTACATGTATTGGCATAGGCACTCGCACACATGCACACGTGTGTTAGCTTTCATGCACACACTAGCATGTGGCATGGCACTCTGTTCACCTTCAGCACAGAGCACACGGAGTCCACACTCTGCGGGGTCGCCCCGCCCTCGTCCCCACAGCGCTCCTCCGGTGGGTGCCCCAGGCCCGGGGGTGATCTCCGCCGAAGGCAGGGCCATGCTGCTTTTCTGGAGTCAGGCCCGTGGGTTCTCTTCCCCGGGCTCCCCGGAATCGTTACGCTTTCCACGTTCTCTTCGGAAAGCAGAAGCGCCTTGGCCTTTGCCTTCCACACCAGTCACAGCCGCGCAGACCGACGCGCTGTCCGCTCAGGGCTCTCCGATGGAGCAGCTCCGTGTGCGGCTGGTGCTGGGCGCTGAGCGCGCACTCAGGAGCCAAACAATCTGCCCCGAAGAGAGAGGAAGCCCTGCTCGGACCGAGGGCTCCTCATACAACTGGAGGGCGATGTCTGTGACGGAGAAAGAAGCAGCACACTGAGGCCTGGGTGAGCGGTGCTGACATGAGCTGCTGCCGGAGACTCTTCGCCGACGTGTTCAGCGAAGGACAGGGAGGCAGGAAGCGCTCCGCCCAGAGCCAGGCCACGGGCCGGAACAGCGATGAGCGGGATCCTGCGGGGCGGGGGCGGGGTGGGAGCAGCCAGGCCTTCCAAGAGGCGAAACCACCAGCTGTGCTCCTCGAACTTAAGAACTTTTTTGGAAAACTGGGTATTCTAGGCGGAAACGGGAGTTGAGGTAGAAATCCCAGGGATTGCAAATGATTTCTGTACTTTAAAGCTGACGGTGTGAGTCTCCTCTATTGCAGCTTTTGCCTGGATTGTTAGATTAGTTGCTAGTTTCTTACAGTAGGAAAAACAAATTCATGCAAACGAGGGAACAATGAGCACTTCGTTTACGTCGAGTCTTTTCCTAATCATTGTGTTATGTCACAGAAGCTGAGCTCTTTACTTTTTACTAAATATTTCCATGTGCACCTAATTACTTGGCGCCCTCTAGACCCGTGGTTTACAAACTGCGGCTCTCAAGCCACATGCGGCTCTTTGGCCCCTTGAATGTGGTTCTTCCACAAAATACCACAGCTTGGGTGAGTTTATTTTGAAGAAGTGGCGTTAGAAGAAGTTTAAGTTTAAAAAATTTGGCTCTCAAAAGAAATTTCAATCGTTGTACTGCGGTTCGGTCCAGTCAGGGCACAGGCCCAGGTTGCGGGCTCGGTCCCCAGTGTGGGGCACGCCGGAGGCAGCCATCAATGATCCTTTCTCATCAGTGATGTGTCTCTCTCTGCCTCTCCCTTCCTCTCTGAAATCAATAAAAATGTGCTTTAAAGAACACAAGTGGGGTTCTGAGGAAGCAGGAGGCACACGTAGGGTGCTGCCTTCCTGAGGCCTCTGCTCCCTGCGCTGCCCTCCCAGGCCTGGCAGCTGGCTCCCTGCCGCAGCACAGCCATGGCGCCTGGGGCGGCCCGCCGGTGCCCTATTTCCCCAATGGCAAAGCCAAGAAATGGCTCCTTTCACAGCCCCTTTGAGCTTTCGCTTCTCCGTAGGTCTTCCCTCGCCATCCCAACCTCTCACAGACCACCTCCCTCTCTTCCTTTTTACCCTGTGGGTTCCAAATCTCAGGTTCTTTCCTGCCTGAGCTGTGCTCTCCCCGTTAACCTTCCCTTCGTTCCCAGGAGCAGACCCGATCCCATTTCTTTTTAAAACGTGTTTTCCGTTACAGTTGCCTGGAATGTCACTTTGGGTGGGTGAAGTGTGTGCGCAGTGGCTAGATGACCTGTCTGGCTTCTCTCATCATCCATGCTAACCCTAACCCTGCCAGTTAGTGGTTCTCTCTCGTCATGTTTTATTCCACTTCATCTCTCATCACACCCATGCAGACTCTCCTTCTCTCTGCCTGGCGATACAGACGGGGGTTAGAAATGGCTGGTGGCTCATCTTCCCATTGCCCTGGCAAGGTTATTCTAGCTCTAGTGGCCCAGTGCACGGGTCCGTGCACATTGGAAGGAAATGAATAAGAGGAAATATTTTAATAGTGCTATTCACCCTTTCTCTATAATAGAAGAAGTGTCAACCAAATTCACGATCGACAATGATAGAACAAAACACACGTGGGTGCTTGGCGCCAGTGAGAGCTTTATATGTATCACGCATGCGCGAGTCACCTTAGCCTCTTACAGATATAGACATCTCCCTTTTTCTCACCGGCTCCTCTGTGGATATGCAGTTAGTGTCCTGAAAGAGTGACGCAGAAGGAGGTGTCTCCCCTTTGCTTGGGAATGGTGGCACCATCGGAGAATACGTTGATTCTGGGTGAATTAAAGAGATAGGCCTTCAACCAAGAATGAGAACATATGTCGCCCTGGACGGTGTGGCCCTGTCATTGAAATCTTGTCCCATCAGTGTTTCTCTCTCCCTCTCCCTTCTTCTCTCTCTAAAATCAATTAAGCAAGTATATTTTTAAAAAGAAAGATAGCATAGTCCCTTACTTTGCATACTTACGGCATCTGTTGGTGTCCTGACTTATCCAGTCCACAGCCATCACCCTGGACTTACAATGGAGCACCAAGAGGTCCACCAGGGTGACAGAGGCAGACTCAGATCAGTTCTCCCCGGGCTGGACTTAAACTCCTTCCGACCCCAGTTCCTGGTCCCCAGTTGCTCCCCCTATGACACACGCTTCCCAGGAGACCTCTCTTCCCTGACCTGCATCCCTCCCTGTCCTTGGGAAAGCAGCTGGGATGCCTCCGAGCACTCCCCCCAGGTGCCTCCTCAGAAGTAGCATAGGAGGGGGGAGGGGCAGGTCTGGGGCGGTTGAGAGGGCAGCTCTGGTTGGGGTGCAGGACTGGGAAACACTGTTTGGGTGGTTTTGTTACTTTTGATTTGGAAGCTGCAATGAGGGCCGCTGTGGAGTTTGCCGTCATTTGCAGAAATCTCCCCAAGTATGTGATGAGAGTCTCTGGCGGCATTTCCTGCAGCGGGAAACCCTGGCCTCCGATGCCATCACAGACCAGGTGGCTTGGAGATGACCAAGGGATGGAACAGACTAACAGGACGCACCCACTAACCTGAGTCAGTGCAGAGGCACTGCTCCCCGGCTCCGGCTCCCGGCCCCTGGGGAGGGCCATGGCCGTGGAGTCGCGGTGTACAGAGATCTGAAAGCCATCCTGGTCCCAGCCTCGGTCTCACGGCTCCTTTTCTGTCTGTTTCTTTTCCGTTTCAGATTCACCAGCACTCCTACACCGGGTACTACGTCCTGAGCAAAATCCCGCACTGGTAAGACTGCTTCCTCTCCTTTCGCTGAGAAACCTGCAGAGCCGTGCTGGCCGCACGGGCTGGGCGCTTAGCTCCTCGGAACTGAGGGCAGAGCCGCGGGGGTGCTGATGCTGCAGGACCTCTGGGCCCCGGGAACCCACAGGGTCAGGGGTCACCGAGGCCAGCACCTGCCCCTGGCAGCCTCCGTCCCCAGCAGCGCCCAGCCCGCCGGCCTCCCTGGGCCCTGCTGCTTCCTCACCAGCTGCAGGAGGGGGCGGGGCCTGGCAGCAGCTGATGAATGCTCTCTCACATGAGGGTTTTTCTCTCTCCCTCTCCATTCCTCGCTCTCTCTCTAAATCATAAAAGCATGTTTGTTTTAAGGATGGATGATTGGGGGCCCAGCGTGTGTGCGGGAAGGAAAGCCGGAGAGCAGCGTGGTTTGGAAGGCTCGTGTGGGCAGACCCCGCAGCACAGGAGCCATCCTCGGAGCCCACCCTCGGAGCTCACGGCGGGAAGGCCGGGTCCGGGTCCGGGTCCGGCTCAGGGAGCCACAGGGAGCGGCCGCCTGGGAAACGGTCACGGGCCTGGGAAAGCGGACAGGATGGTTTTTACAGTTTTCATCTCTATTCTGCTCCTCCTCCTCCTTCCTCCTCCTCCTCCCCTATCCCTATCAGTCCTCCCACAACTCGCCCCCCTCTCGTTCCTCCACCTTCCTCCCTCGCCCCCTCCCCCGCTCCTGAGCGCCTGTGGGAAGGAGAGGTGCTTGGGAAAGGGTCCAGCACCGGAAAGGCTGGCCGTGGGGTGTAGGTTCCCATGAAGGTTCCAGAGGAGGCCTCCCCTTTCCCCCAGACATGTAAACGGACAGTGCGGTGTCACAGGGCACACGGGTACAGCCGCCATCTGCCGCCCGCGCTGCCTGGCTGGGGCAGAGCGTGGCATGGCCTTGGGAGACATACGGGAAATGTCTTCATCGGGAAGCATGAGAGATACGTGTAGGACGCAGCGAAAGTGGTTCCTGGTTTCTGTTGAACTGGGAGAAACCCAGCCCGAGGACTGAAGATGGCCGCGATAGAGCAAATAGAGTGTCCGCGGGCGTTTTTCTCCTGAAGCACACGCCCGTGTCCCCACGGAGGAGAGCCACGCTGTTATTTTTCAAGCAGATACACATCCGAAAAGGTGGCGGCGGGCAGAGTGTAATTAAGCTGGAGATTTATCTGCCCTGCTGGGAGTGAGAGAATTTATGGGAGCTGATGGCTCTTCTGGGCCCTTTAGATAAATCTGTAAAACTCAAAACTGCAAGCATTTTACGCTTAACTCGTGGCGCTGATGTTTTACTGCCCCGTCAGGACCCAGCTCAAGTGTTTACCAAACCTGTCCTGGCCGGTCCCGCAGTGTTTAGAGTGTCGCCCCCAATACACCAAGGTTGGTGGTTCAATCCCCAGCCAGGGCACATCCAAGAATCAGCCAGTGAAGGCATGGATGGGTGGAACAAGAGGTCTCTCTCTCTCTCCTTCCTCTTCTCCTCTCCTCCTCCTCCTCCTCCCTTTTCACTCTATGAAATCAATATGGTAAATATTTAAAAAGAAGAATGTACCAAATCAGGCCGTACCTGAGGACAACAGGTGACTTGGTTTCAATCTCAGGGTGACAGTCCCCATGGAGAATGAGCTCTGGGTATTTCTAAAACAACCGCAGTGAGAATCATCACTGTCATTCACTGGTTGACGTTCACGCGCCTTCGGAGACAGCCAAGAGGCTGCCCGCGTCTCCGAGCGCTCAGCAGAGTGGCCCACGCCCGCCAGGCTGACCCCAGCTCTCACAGAGCACCCTTGGACACATATAGCCACACAGATCAGCTTCTATGCGCTCATTTGCTTTCTCTCTAAGGACTCAGACACGGAATGGCGCACTATTCCTTGTCATGTTGACCAGAGCAGTGTCCGGTGGGTGAGAAGGTCTGACCCTCCCATTTCTGAGAAAACTGGCACAGCGTCCCCACACTGCCTCATTCCACACCGGCACTCCCGCTCTGTGTTAAAATGAATCGTGTGATCCATTTCAAACATTAGCAAAACCTTTCTGTTAACAAGTCAGTGGGCTTCTGAACTGGGGGAGCCTCTCGGCCTTGGTTTTTGCAATGTCAGGAGCTCGCTGACCCCTCCTAGTCAGAGGGCAGGTGCTCAGCCAGATGGCAGGACCGGGATGCAGAGTGGGCGTGGGCTCCCTCCGGAAAGCACCACTGTCCCTTTAAATACAAACAAGTCTATCAAAGTAGTCACATTTATAAGACTCGAAGCCCAAACACCAGCGGCTTTCCCGGCCTTCTGCACACACAGGTCTGTGCCTTGTTCACGGACTCCCTCCCTCTTTCCCCAGGTCCTTGGCTTCGAGCCAGAGCTGTTTCAGCTGCAGGATGAGATGGTTTGTCATTTACAGCTCCATCTTCCCTCTTACTTTCAGGCTTCCCCACCAGCCACAGAGCAGGGCGGACGGAGTGCCCAGAGCCCTCAGGGTTCGGCTCCTGCCTCTTTGCCAGGGGCAGAGGGATTGGAGAGCAGGCCCTCACACGGGCGAGTTTACAGGTGCTGGTATGGAAAATAGTACAATACAATAACTAATCGGTAACTGTTATGGAATAAACTCTGTGTTTCCATACTGACAGTATGTTTCCGTACTGTCTTTGCCCACTCTGTAAGCACTGAGCCTTTTACGAACCAGAAGGAGGCGCTCTCTGCCCATGTGACCTTCCCCCTCCAGTCTGACCTCTGTCTGGGAGCCGGGCAGGCTGTGGGCCGTGGTGACTAGAGTTAGAATGGCATTCCCGTGACGGCAGCGAGTTTTGTCTACTCAGTGACCTAGAACCCAGGGGTAGGTTTGTCTGACTTTCATACACAAAATTGTATTCTTGTAAGACATATGTCTTTCATGTTTAACATAGGGTTTCACAGTTTCTTTTTTTTTTTTAATATATTTTATTGATTTTGTACAGAGTGGAAGGAAGAGAGATAGAGAGTTCGAATCATCAATGAGAGAGAGTCATCGATCAGCCGCCTCTTGCACACCCTCTACTGGGGATATGCCTGCAACCAAGGTACATGCCTTGACCAGAATCGAACCCGGGGCCCTTCAGTCCCCAAGCTGACGCTCTATCCATTGAGCCAAACCGGTCCTAGCTCACAAAGTTTCTATATCAGAATTTCAACAAAATAAAGCAACCGTCCACAGTGAAGGTCAGAGCCAGCTCAGCGTTCTCCTCGGAGGGCCTGTCACATAGATTCATGGACGTTTTTTGCTTCTTCACATTTTCCTGGCGTGACTCTGCCCCGAATTAGTTTCCCCTTTGGTTTGAGTCCTTTTCTAAAAGAAATGATGTTTGAACGTGTGGTCTCGTGTCTGTTGGCATCATTCTGAAATGGACGGGGAACATCAGGTCCTTCCACAACGGAATCCACTTCCGGGAAACTGGGTGGCCTCGTGGGGCTTGGCGTCTTCGGGGGACACTGTCGCCCTAACTGCACTTACTCACCAGCATTTCTCAGGCACCAACCCAAACTGTGTAAAAATTGTATGTCTTTGGAGTTCTGGTTGATGTATGAAGTTACAGTCTGCGTCTGTGAAAATAATAATCTGAGACGTAGACTCCTCACGTGGCAGGAGGACTGAAGCCCTGAATTTGAGCACCAGTCCATGCGCTGACTTTGGGTGGTGACAGTGAGAGTCTACAAACCTTAGTTTCCGCATTTTCCAAAGATGACCATAATGCCCACCCTCCAGGCACATTATAAAGATTAAGTGGAGTCCAAACTACAGTAGTTTGGTTCAGTGGATAGAGCGTTGGCCTGCAGACTGAAAGGTCCCAGATTCAATTCTGGTCAAGGACATGTACCTTGGTCGCAGGCACATCCCCGGTAGGGGGTGTGCAGGAGGCAGCTGGTCGATGTCCCTCTCTCATCGATGTTTCTAGCTCTCTATCTCTCTCCCTTCCTCTCTGTAAAAAGATCAATAAAATATATTTTTTTTAATAAATAATAAATAAAAGATTAAGTGGAACGATGTATGCAGAAGGCACAGCAGAGTCCTGCTCCGGGTGAGCAGATGTTAATGCTGTCTTCAGTGGGGAGTGTGTGTCCGAGGCCTGGGGTGACCTCAGTGGTAAGTCCCGTCGCAGTCACTTCCCAGGCAGCTCACACCCTCCGGTACGGAAAGGAATGACAGACTATGTCATGAAATCCCCTTTAATAACGTTTCAAAGCTATGGTCGTTCCCTGACACTCAGGTAATGAATTGTGATTTGTCATTTCTCTAAAGAGACCTCTGTAGCTTCAACTATCCCCAGTTCTCATAGTCAATATTCTTATCTAATCTCGATCTTGATCTTTATCTCACCTGCAGTTCATTGTCAGGCATTCTTGTTTTGCCTCCAATGGAAGCAGAAAAGACAATATAAATTAACAAATAATCATTGAAATACCGTACTTAATAGCAAAAGCAATGGCTGCTATTCCTCGGAAGTTCAAAATCTTGTTGAAAAGAAGACACAACCCTAGCTGGTGCAGCTCAGTGGTCAGAGTGTCGGCCCACACACCAAAGGGTCACAGGTTCACCTCCTGGTAGAGGACACGTACCTGGGTTACAGGTTCAATCCCAGACACATGCTGGAGGCAACCAATTGATGTGTCTCTCTCACATCAGTATGTCTTTCTCTCTCTCTCTCTCTCTCTCTCTTCCTGTCTCTTCCTCTCTCTCTAAAAAGCAATAGAAAAATATAGCCTTGAGTGAGGATTAACAAACAAAGAAAAAGAAATATTGTAATACCAACTGAGGCATGGTTCTGTGCCCCAAATGAGTGTTTTAAGCTCTGAGCACCAAAGGAGGGGCTGTGGGCAGGGCTGCCAGGAAGGAGCTCATGAAGGAGACCTGGCTTGCTCGGAGCCTTGGAGTTTTCTGTTCGTTTTTAAGTAGATGGTGAGAAAGGAGACCTTCTCGGTGGAGTAAAGCAGTGGGCAGGCTTGGCCTCTGCC